CCCCCCCCCCATTCCTTCGGGTCACGCAGGCGGACCTGGGAGATACGTGCGTGGTGACAGGGGAAGGGATGGTGAGAACTTTGAGCCTCTGTCTCGCGAAGAGAAAGGGAAAAAGATGGGACCAACCACCCCCACGACACGATCGCTCAGACTTCCACAAGTATGAATCCAATGCTTGCCATTCCGATCATCGAGCGACAAAAACATTTTCCGGGCAGCAACACAGATGAGAGTACAAGAAATTGCGAGACTGGCACGGAAACGACGCCTTTCCAGCCACTCAACACGTCCTCACAAGCATGTCAGAAACCCCCACGTCCAGACGCCCCCCGTATGGCCGTACCAGGTACTGCTCCGCCGACAGGCCCATTTCCTTGCTCGTCATGTCCAAGAGCTCCTGGCTTTTCATATCCTGGTTGTACGTTACGGTCAACAATCGACTGGGATCGTCCGAGAGATAATCCAAGGCTGTCTGTCTGAGCACCCCTGCGGCCTTGCACATCGCCTCGTAGTCTTCCTGGGGGTGTGAGCCGTTTGTCGCGTACGCCAACGCCACGTAAATGGCATGGAAAAGGCAAGACCCATCACCAGGGACCTATGGGTAGGCAAAAAGTAAATATAATAAACAAGAAGCTTGATACCCCATTTATGCAGCGGCTAGACGCGACCCTTCAGTCACACCACAAGGACACATTTCAACACCCAGATTCCTCCATTAAACCTCCCATCTCCTTTGTTGGGCGTTCCGTTTCCATCTGCCGGTCCCGTTCCGCGCAGTTCCCCTGATTCTTTCCCTCACCTGGCGCACGCGCATCTTGCTCTTGCTGTGGTGCACGTCCCAGGTCTCCGAGAAAAAGCCACCCCGGCTTATACTGTTGTAGACTTCCAAGCGTCCATCTCCTGTGGCCGTCCCGCTCGGGAAATTGGTGGCCGCAAACGAAAATCGAAAAGTGGCGCTGGGCGCGACAAGCAGGAGGAGGAGGAAGGTAGGCATGAGGGTGGGAGAGCGACGTAGTCTTGCTCCTCGTCGGCTGGGGCGGGCCCGACGGGTAGAGACGGATATCATGGACAGAGGCCAGGGAAAGGAGGAGCAATACTGCGTGGCTGGAAGGGAAGACAGGCACGGTGTATCTTTCATTCAGACAGGCTGCACTTTTCCTTGCGGTTGCCTATGTGCAGTTTCCAGGCGGTTAGTGCCAACACTTTTCCGGGAACAAGACCCGCAAGCGCACCGAAAAACGAGCACCCGTCCCTGTAATAAATTGAAAAATACTCTCGGTGAGATGATTGCTTGGAGCAAAATGGATGACACCTACAGGCTTTCATTGTCTGTCCGACCAAAGCAAGTTGAGGAGTCGGACTACACAGGCGAGGGGGTTGCTGGCTTCCTCTTTGCCCCGGGTTTTCTTGCCCCAAATGAAGGACAGCAACGGCAACAGGGATAGCGAGATCATATGATGGTGCACACACGTTGAAAGCATCTGAAATCTGCGTCCCAAATGCTTGACCGAAAATAATCTGTACAGGTGATTTTACAAACGTGCCCATGACGGAGAGGACGCAAGTCCGGGGACTGCTCCCAAGGGGAGTGCATGGTACATCGCAGTGCATGTAAATGACCCTTGAAAAGCAAAACCTCAACCTCCATCACCCCGCGCTATCTCTCTGTGTGCAGATTTTTCCTATTTCCTTACGTTGTGCCGGCCATGCACCCAGTCGTTCCCTAACACGCCCCCTTTTTCGGGCGCCGAAAAACCCTCTGCCAGGCGCGTTTCCCACCCCAAGAATTTCGTCCTCGCCTCAGCCGGAGGGGGCTGGGGCAATGCATGCCACGAAATCTTCCCTTAAATATTTTCCAACGTGGCACGAAAGGCTGCGAAAACCCCTGTCGACATGTGCATGTCCGTAGCGGGACATGTATTTCGAATGGATCGGCAGGGATGTTTCAGGGGGAATTTATTTGGGTCCGGGCCCCGCCCCTGCCTGGTATCACCTGACGCGGGCGCGTAAGGCCGTCGATATGCCCGTCTCGAGGTTGAGGAACCGAAAACCATGACGAAACGAGACCAGCCCGGCGCGTGGGGGGCAAGCCTTGAGCCTCTCAAAGTGCTTAGGAGGTGGAGGCGTTGTGCTTCCTCAACCTGCGTGGGATCTGGTGGGTGATGGGTGTGGTTTTGTCGACCATTTCCTGTCGGTGGCTTTACGCTTTGGGGTATTTTCCATGCCCTTCACGTCTGGGGCATTCCGCGTTTTGCCTCCTCCGCCTCTACGCCGGCCTCTGTGATGCACCCCACCCGTCCGTGCCATAACACATCGATAACGCTCAATCCCCAGTCCATTCATCGTCTTAGACCTTGAAGGGGCACAGATTCACATATGCATGTCGTCGTCGTGACCGAGGGGGGGTGGAGGCCGAATAAGGGCAGGGCCTCTTTAGGAGGCGTAAGCTCGAATCCAAATCGATGCCCTTTCACGCTTTCGACACGTGGCATCTTGATGGTTTCCCTTGGAGGCCTGTCGACATTTTACGGCGTGACAAGGAGTCTAATGAGGCTTGAAAGTGGCAGCGTATCGTCACGCCTGCGACAGTGTTGCCCTCCCTTGACGGAGACAGAGCAAGAAAGGCTTGTCTCTTCTCCATCGAAGAAGCTTTTATTTACCGTAAATTTTGCTCACAGCTACATATTCTCACCTCAATCAAACGCCCAGAGAAAGCAGTGGAGTGAAAGGATGAGTCCTCCGTGCATGGAAAGTGCTCTAAGGAAGACTGGAGCTGTTTGAGGACGCGCGTTCGCTGTCACAAAGTCAGGCATTTTAGCTGCCTTTGACGTCGCGAAAGTTTGATAATGGAAAATGTTGGCAACATGAGTGGTGGCAGCCCGAGTGGCTACCCCCCCATGGCTCTTGGACAGCAGCAGCGGCTCAACAATCAGCAACACGAACCATCGCCCCAACAACTTTACCTTCCACCTCAACAGCAGCAGGAACAGCACTTCGCTGCTTATCAAATGGACCCTCCTGCATACGGTCAACACACGTACGGCTACATGACCGGTGCAGGGGTTGGTCACAGTGCGCCTTCCCCCCCCGTCTACCATGCACAGCCTCCAGCCTATCCCGGGCCCTACCCCTCGCACCCTTACGGCAACCGGACTGGGACAATGCACGACGGAAACGTCAGCGGCAATAGCGCGCACGCGCACTACCCCACTCCGTACCACCACGGGCGGGAGCACGGGGAGGGAGGAGGAGGGAAAGGAGAAGAGGGGTCCCTGTCCCTGTCAGCGGCCGCCATGCAACAATTTTATCTCCAGCAGCAGCAAGCAGCCGCAGCAGCAGCAGGTATAGGACCGCAGAGCTCAGGCGTTGACGCTGTAGCTTGGTACGCATTGGCACAGGCCCACCACCAGCACCTGCAGCAGCAGCAGCAGCAGCAGCAACAACATCGTGATCATAATCACCAGGCCTTGCCTGTACAACAACATCATCACCATCATCAC